AGTGTACTTTCAGATATTTAAAAAGCTGTACCATTTTACAAACATTATATATGTTTGTAAAATGGCATAACTTTTTTTATATATAACTATATATATATATATATATATATAGTCTAGTCTAGTATAGTATAGTATAGTATTTCAGTCTGGCGAGTAAAAAAAAAATGTACTAGCCAATGGAGATTCAATTGCCAAGGTGTCCGTAGAGGGTTGGTTGGGCAAGTTACTCTGAAAATGTAATCAAATTACTGATTACTCCTCTTAAAAGTAATCACGTTACTGTTCTGATTACTTTATTTCAAAAGTAATTAGTAATTAGTTTCATTACTAGTTAAGTTACTTTTTTCTCCATGAAATTTATCTCAACACTCAATGCACTCTCCCAGCTTTTGTAGGTGCAAAGACCTATTTCTTATATATAAAACGTTACTCAAGGTCTGCACTCTAAAATTCTCTTTATTTAAACAGGAGATAAATACAAATAACAGATGTTTCGGCTTGCTGCCTTTATCTGTGTGACAAGATCTCAGTAACTCAGTGATTATATGAAGACCAACAATGACCCACAGGTGATGGTAATTAGGTTTCCAAATTCACAGACTCCAGATCAGTACCATCTATAACAGCAACAAATTTCAAAAAAAGCTTAAACAAAAATCAATGGGGACAATAACACTTCAGGCAAAAACATGCCGTTCATACACATTGCTCCCAAAAAATAAAATAAATAAAAAATTTACGAGAAACATGAAAGATCAAAATCCTAATTTAAACCCAAAGGTGACATGGTCTTTAAATAAAACATCCAAGACGCCTCTCTTTGTAAGAATCTTTTATCAATATCTCCACCCCGGCGAGGATTCATTCTTTTTCCCTATACATTTCAGTTGTTCAATACTATGATTATATTCAATAAAGTGTCTGGCCACTGGAGAAGTAACATCACATCTACGAATTGCTGATTTATGTTCACTGATTCTAATTCTCAATGGCCTCGAAGTTTTTCCAACATACATCAATGGACATTGAAGTAAGTATATTATATTATTAGTAGAACATATGATACAAGATTTGATGTAGTATGTTTTATTCGTCAGTAAACATGTAAACTTTTTGCATTGTAATATTGAAGAACATGATGTACAATTTCGACATGGAAAACAACCTTGTATATATGTCTTCTTGTCATCACGCACTAAATCTGATCTAACTAGCATATTTGCCAAATTTGAAGATCTTTTGTAAGTAAACATCGGAGGTTGTTTGAAAACGTCTTTTAAAGAAGGATCTGAAGCTAAAATGAACCAATATTAATTTACAATAGATTTAATCTGATGGCTATTTTTTGTGTAGGTTGAAATATAATTGATTGAAAACTGTTTCTTCTGTTGTTTTTTTGATAGTTCAATAACTGAAATCTCTCAGATTTTTTTACTTTTTCAACTGCTGAATGAAACCAAGTGTGTGGATAACCTCTTGAACAAAAACGATTCTTCAAAATTATTGACTGTTTCTCAAATTCCTCTTCTGAATCACAAATACGTCTTTAAGTCTATAGAGTTGACTTAATGGCAACCCTTTTTTCAGAGGCAGTGGGTGATGACTATCCGCAGACAATAATGTATTTTTGTCTGTTGGTTTATGGAACACCGTGGTGGAGATCTTGTTGTTTATTTTTGATATAACCACATCTAAAAAATGAATTGATGATAAATTTCAGTTTTCAACTGAAAACATAATAAAACCTAATCTTGAATTCAAAAACTGTACAAATTCAAACAAATCCTCTTCACTTCCTTTCCAAATGAGAAAACAGTATATTATATTATTAGTAGAACATATGATACAAGATTTGATGTAGTATGTTTTATTCGTCAGTAAACATGTAAACTTTTTGCATTGTAATATTGAAGAACATCATGTACAATTTCGGCATGGAAAACATGTTTTTATATGTTTTCTTGTCATGACGCACTACATCTGATGTAACTAGCATATTTGCCAAATTTGAAGATCTTTTGTAAGTAAACATCGGAGGTTGTTTGAAAACGTCTTTTAAAGAAGGATCTGAAGCTAAAATGAACCAATATTAATTTACAATAGATTTAATCTGATGGCTATTTTTTGTGTAGGTTGAAATATAATTGATTGAAAACTGTTTCTTCTGTTGTTTTTTTGATAGTTCAATAACTGAAATCTCTCAGATTTTTTTACTTTTTCAACTGCTGAACGAAGCCAAGTTTGTGGATAACCTCTTGAACAAAAACGATTCTTCAAAATTATTGACTGTTTCTCAAATTCCTCTTCTGAATCAGTCTATAGAGAAAAAGTCTATAGAGTTGACTTAATGGTAACCCTTTTTTCAGAGGCAGTGGGTGATGACTATCCGCAGACAATAATGTATTTTTGTCTGTTGGTTTATGGAACACCGTGGTGGAGATCTTGTTGTTTATTTTTGATATAACCACATCTAAAAAATGAATTGATGATAAATTTCAGTTTTCAACTGAAAACATAATAAAACCTAATCTTGAATTCAAAAACTGTACAAATTCAAACAAATCCTCTTCACTTCCTTTCCAAATGAGAAAACAATCATCAATGTATCTTGCCCAGTGCTTAATGAAACTTCCAAAAGGATTATTATTGTAAATAAAATCCAATTCAAATTTACCTGTATTTTTCTCCTGTTTAAATAAAGAGAATTTTAGAGTGCAGACCTTGAGTAACGTTTTATCCATGACATTTATGAAATCCCAGCATACACGCTTCCGATAAATATTTGTTATTAAAGCATCAACATTCACAGAACACTGTTATTTTTAACTAAAGCAATCTCTCTTCTCTGTTGCGTCGGGTCTCGCGGGAGCAGGTCTCTAATCCACTGGCACTTGACTCCACACTGCGTGTGCTACATCCTTTTTATAATCTCTAGATTATAAAACACTGCATTCTGTCAGCAATGTAACGTATAGAGACCTCGACTTGTAATTATACTCTAATTACTATTTAGAAAATTATAACGTGTTAAATCACTACGTTACTAAAAAAGTAGTCAAATTACAGTAACGTGTTACTAAGTAATGCGTTACTGCCCAACACTGATTATGAACATGCTTTCTGTCATTGTGATTTGATGGCTGTGTTTTCCTCCAGCATGACTCGAGACGCAGGATCCGAACCCGCTGTGGTGGAGAATGATGAGGATCTAGACGAGGAAGAGGAGGAGGTTCTGGACAACGATCAGGACGAAGACGGAGACGAGAATGAGAAAGAGGTCGAGGATGACAAGATTGTGGACGAGCGCAACGACAGCAGCCAGAGCACCAGCATCGCCATGACGACCACTACCACCACCACCACCACCACAGAGTCAGTAGAGGAGGTGGTAAGAGGTGAGTGACATCCAATCACGTTCAGTGTTCACTCATCAGATGCTGACAGATGCTAGTCTTCACGCGTGCGTGTGTGTGTGTCCCATCAGAGGTGTGTTTTGCGAGTGCAGAGACGGGCCCCTGTAGGGCCATGTTGCCCCGCTGGTATTTTGTGCGTGAGGAGGGCCGCTGTGCTCCCTTCATCTACGGAGGCTGCGGAGGAAACCGCAATAACTTTGAGTCGGAGGAGTACTGTCTGTCTGTCTGCAGCAGCGTGTGTAAGTCAACCACAGAACGACTGACCGGGTGTGCCACTAACACGGATGAATAGTGGTCGACCGATATGGGTTTTTTGACAGATGATACCGATGCCGATATCTTGGAAAGCAGGGTGGCCGATATAAAGACATGTCACGTCACTTTCAAAGATTTGTTTAAATTATATAAATGCGTATTTGCGAATGCTGACGGCAAATGAGAAAGTATTATAATGTTTGCCTTTTAATAATATTAAAGCAATCGTTATAATACTTTTTTGTATACATTTTAATTCCTTTGTTTAACAGTTCTATCTGATTATTCGATAGACTTCTATCCATATTAGACCGAACTGAATGACAACAGCGAACAAGAGGGAGAATGTGAGCACTGTGTGCTCAGGCGCTGCCGCAGCCGTTCTTAGCGCCGTCAAAATAAAAGTCTGATGCGCCGTCAAAATAAAAGACCCACCTCGAACACATCGGCCAAACAGAAAAATGTATCGGCCGATGCCGATATTTGAAAAATGGCAGATATCGGCCGATATATCGGCCTTGGCGATATATCGGTCGACCACTACTGATGAACATGCATTTTCTTGCCCTCATGACTTTCAAAAAGTGGAACACAAAAGAAAACGTTTAGAGGGATGTTCATGCTGCTCTTATATAATGAAAGCATGAAAGCCACATAAAGGACAGTGATTCCTCTCCTTTGAGAAACTTGTTTTATTCTTTTGATACTTATGAAAAGGTTTTTAACCAAGTAAATCCAAATTTAGTCTTAAAGTGCTCCTATTATGCTATTTGAAATGTTTATCAATTGGTTTGGGGAGTCCCCAACAACAGGTTTACATGCATGCAAGGTCAAAAAGCACTTTCATTTTCTTATAATATGCATTTAATATGCATATAATATGCATACTTGGGAAGTCGTGGCCTAATGGTTAGAGAGTCAGACTCGTAACCCAATGGTTGCGGGTTCGAGTCTCGTACCGGCAGGGATTGTAGGTGGGGGGAGTGAATGTACAGCGCTCTCTCCCACCTTCAATACCACGACTGAGGTGCCCTTAAGCAAGGCACCGAACCCCCAACTGCTCCCCGGGCACCGCAGCATAAATGGTGCTGTGTGTTTGGATGGGTTAAATGCAGAGCACTAATTCCAAGTATGGGTCACCATACTTGGTCACATGTCGCATGTTAATTTTACGTTATTTCTCAACGACTCTCGAGCGATTTGTACAAAGAGTCATCTTTCCAAACCCCTCCTTTGCATAATGTTACTCTGCTCTGATTGATCCGATGTTTTGATTGGTCTGCTGAGTACAGCGCATGTCGGAAAAGGAACGCCCATCACCAGTACTTCAATACGGCTTGTCAATAAGACATCCTATTATAATAATTATAGTGCTCCACTCTGTTCTAAAAAGAAGGAATCAGAGGCGAAAAAGTTTTACTCTTATGTTAGCGAACCGGACCCACAGATCACAGACAAAAGAGTACTGATAAAGCACTGCAATTTCTAAACCAGCGTATTGCTCCATCCTTTATTATGACTCCAAGTACAACAGACATTTGTACTGTATTAATCTACACATTTCTAGACAATAGCAGGCCCACAGCAGATTAGCAGAACTACAACATGAGTTAGCCAGAGACTTACAGCTGCACTGTAAGTTGAACATCTCGACAGAATGCTGCACGACAGAACATCAAAGTAACAATTATTAATCATACTTAGAGGTTGTGATTCGGAGGAGCAAACTGTTCCAAACAAACTGGGCACTGACCCATCTTTCAAAGACAACCGGTTTACGAATCCCGCATTGAACTCGTGGAGATTGAAGAAGCAGTCGTCAGTGAAATGACAAGAACACAGCAAAAAAGTTGTGATTATACTGCTGTTATACCTTAGTAAAGATGAATTTTAACCACTGATTCTTCACAGCCTCATCCTTTGTGTCAGGCTCTGTTCCATGTCTCGTGTTGTGTTTTCCTCCCTCACGTGCTCTGTTTATTTCCTTGCCCTTATTTGGTTATCTTCCTGTTCCTGCTCCCTGGTTGTTTCTAATTTGAGTCCAGGTGTTCCCCGTTTAGTTGTTCCCAGGTGTGTCCCATTAGTTTCTGTGCATTTAAACCCTGTGTTTCCCAGTGTTTCCGGTCTGCTGTTAAATGTCATTTTGTGTTCTCCGTGATTACCTGTGTTCCTGTGTTCCCAGTTTTCATTTCATTAAAGACTTTGGAATTTGCTTTACTCCTCGTCTCCTCGCTCTTTTGTTCACGTGCTCCCAGTGTGAATCGTGACACTTTGGAAGTGAAAATAAACCGAATTCACTTTCACAGCGCAGAGTCTTCTTGCATTATGTTATCCACACGAACGAGCTACAGCGTTTGAAGTTTGTTTTCGCAGGATGTCCACACAGAACATAGGAGGGCATTATGCACATATAAGAATTTGTGACGTGTGAAATTTGCGGAATGAGATTTGAATTTAAAACGACTCATTTCATCGTTTCAGAGTCGACTCTTTCTTTTGAGAGACAATAACTTTATTTATGATGCACTTTCAGCTTTACAACTTTACAGACTGTTTACATTCACATACAGTTGCATTACACACTGCATGAAAGTACTTGATTAGAATTTGAACGGCAGTGTTATTTATATTTAAATTTACCTCTAGTGTCATTTGTAGTGTTAGTTGATATTACATTTGAAATTAATATATTTTAAATACACTTAACTACCTTATTACAAATGTTTAAATACAAATGAATTTAAATGCATGACAATATAAGTTGTATAATATAAGTGAGTAGTAATGACATTAAAGTATATTTTAGTTTACCATAAATGCTTGTCAGTACATTCAGCAGTACACTTATATGAAGATGTATAAAGATGTACTTCAGTCTTACTTGCAGTAAGTACATAAGTAAAAAGCACTCTAATATAAATTTAAACTATGATACATTTTCATTTAACTGCAGTTTAACTTGCAATTAATTAGTTGAAAACATTACATGCAGTTTACAATTAAATATATTTTTAAGTATATTTTTGTAATAGGTACTATTTCTACAAGTACGTTACTTTTTCACAAGGGTGATGATACATCTATGATTACATCTACAATTTTAGTCACTTATCAAGGAAAGAGCAGCATGTACATCCTGCTAAACATCGTCTTTTGTGTTCCATTGAAGAAAAAAAGTCACAAGGGTTTGAAAGACATGAGGAAGAGTAAATAAGGTGGATTATTCTCTTTCAGTCTGCTCTGATCTGCACTGACCGTGTGTCGGTTTCTCACTGGCGTTTTCACTCTTGTCACACGCGTGTGTGGCTGCTGATTAACTCTCATCTGTCCCCTAAATTTCTCTCCTGTAACTTAGATTCTTCAACTAATTTTGTGTATTTTTGTGAGAATGAAGTGTGTGTGTGTGTGTGTGTGTGTGTGTGTGTGTGTGTCATTTGCATTTAATCATTGATGCAGTGCCGCTACTGGTCTTTATACTAATTATCTTCCGCACTTGTCAAATGTTCCTTCCAACTGCTATTTAGACTTAAGTTAACGTTGTTTAGGTCAATCAAGTCATGGTTTCTATCAGGTCCTTGCTTTCTATGAGGTCCTTAATAATGTCCTGCTTCAACAAGTAATGCATCAACAAGGGAAAGAAAACTGGGTTAAGCATTTCAGGGTCATTACAGTTAGATTCTATTACCGGTTTAAGATATTAATCAGTTACAATTCATGATTTATGATCAATCATTTATTGTATTCCACATTTGTAAGTCACATTGGATAAAAGCGTTAGGTTGCTAAATAAATAAATGTAAATGTACATGTACAATAGTATTATTTTATTTTGTAGGATCCAGGGTTATTAAAGTCATCTAAAACTAAAATCATAAAAACATTTTTGAAAAAAAAAAAACTTAAACTTATTTTATTTTAGCTAGTTGCCAAGGCAACATTTAATTTAATTTTATTTATTACATTAATTTTTTATTTTAAATTTTTTTATTTTCATTTAATTTAAGATGATGTACTAAAATATCTAAAATGGTAACACTTGACAATAAGGTTGCATTAGTTAATGTTAGTTCATGTATTAACTAACATGAACAAACCATGAACAGTACATTTATTACAGTATTTATTAATCTTTGTTAACGTTAATGAAAATACAGTCTTTCATTGTTAGTTCATGTTAGTTCACAGTGCATTAACTAATGTTAACAAGCACAACTTTTGATTTGAATAATGCATTAGTAAATGTTGAAATTAACATTAACTAAGATTAATAAATGCTGTAGAGATATTGTTCATTCTTAGTTCATGTTAACTAAAGTAGTTAACTAATGTTAACTAATGAACCTTATTGTAGTGTTACCACTAAAACTATAATAAAATTAATGAAAACTACATATTTAAAAAATAATAATAAAAATTAAGAAAACACGACAAAATTAAAAAAAAATTAAATAAAATGAAAATGAAACAAGAAAATATATTTAAAAAACAAATAATAATCATCCAAAAATATGAATAAAAACTATAATAGTTCCTCAATGCTGAAATAGCACAGGTTGGACTAAACAGGTGTCATACAGAGATTATCATGTACATCCTCATGCCACTGTAACTTCATCATTTGGCACAAAACTTCCAGAATGTTCCCTGCTGTGAGAATATGACACAGCTACTAGTGTATTATTATATTGTCTTCATTACAGATTAAACATGAATAAACTGGTCAGTTGGAAGCTTTTAGTGTCTTCTAACCGCTTTCTAACAATCTCTTCTATCACTTCTAATGCTGTTAAATCGTCTTCTCATGTCCTGCAATAAAAGTTTGTCTGTGATCCGCAGTGCCGACTCCCTCCTCTAGCCCTCCGGACGCAGTGGACCGATACCTGGAGACGCCAGCAGACGAGAACGAACACGCGCACTTCCTGAAGGCCAAAGAGAGCCTGGAGGCCAAACACCGCGAGCGCATGTCTCAGGTACCGGATTTACAATACCGCTCAAAAATAAATTTTTATTCATCAGGGGCACATTAAATTAATCAAAAGTGACAGTAAAGACATTTATAATGTTACGAAAGATTTCCATTTCAAACAAATGCTGTTCTTTTGAACTTTCTGTTCATCAAAGAATCCTGAAAAATAAAATGTAAAACAGTTTCCAAAAAAACATGAAGCTGCACAACTGTTTTCAACATTGATAATAATCAGAAATGTTTCTTGAGCAGCAAATCGGCATATTAGAATGCATTTTTAGAAAATATGGGAAAACATTCAGATTAACTGAAATAAAATAAAATATGCAAAAACTTAAAACTTATTTTTAAGTACTAAAATTCCTCAAACTAAAACTGAAAAAAACTGTATAGACATACAAAGTATATAGACAAACAAAAAACTAATAAAATGACAAAAACACATAATAAAATTACTAAAACTTTTTAAAAAATTGAGCATGCTATTTTTTTTTTTTTTACATTTTTATTTAACTATTATTTTTATTTACTCTGAAATATTTGTATTTCAGTTGGTTGCTAAGGAAACATTTCTCATTTTAACTCAATGACAAAAACATACATGAAAATATTTTAAAACGTTTAACTAAAGTTAACAAGAAAGCAGAAAATATACAAATAAAATCGAAATCAAAATACAGGTGCATCTCAATAAATTAGAATGTCGTGGAAAAGTTCATTTATTTCAGTAATTCAACTCAAATTGTGAAACTCGTGGAACAAAAACTATAATAATATGATAAAAATCAATGAGAAACATTAGAATGATTTCTGAAGGATCATGTGAAACTGAAGACTGGAGTAATGAAGCTGAAAATTCAGCTTTGCATCATGGGAAGAAATTACATTTTACAATATAATCACATAGAAAACACGTATTTTAAATTGTTACAATATTGCTGTTTTTACTGCATTTTAGATCAAATAAATGCAGCCTTGGTGAGCAGAAAATACTTCTTTCAAACACATTAAAACATCTTACTGACCCCAAACTTTTGTTTATTTAAAGCTGCAGTCTGTAACTTTTTTTGGTTAAAAATAATCCGAAATCAATATTTGAGCTAGTACATAACCAGCCAGTGTTCAAAACTATCGCCTTACTTTAGCCAGATTCACAACGGTTAGCTTATAATAATGTTTTCTAATTTGAGTGGTACCTGTTTTTCGTGGGAAATTCAAGCATGGTACTGCGTCATTACGTCACTTCTATAAACAAAGAAGTTTTCCCGGCTACTAGGCTATCGCATGTGAGGATCCTGCAGGTGGCAGATCGTTAGCCTTTTCTCACAGCAGCCAGAATAATTAAATGTCAAAAAATCATTTTGATGGCGGATTGTAATCCAGAAAGGATTATGTGTTTATGAAACACATGTGAATGAAAATAAATTATATTCCAGTTATAAATGTGCTTCTGATTACAGATAGCCTGGGATTACAAATATTTGTATTTTAAAGAAAACCAGTTCGTAGGGAGCGTAATTTGCTTTTTGGGTAAAAAGAATTTCTTAATATGAAATTTGAAGAGTATGACAATCAGATTAGACTGTGCAGAAATTAAAATCTACACGCTAATACACACTATACTCATAGTCACCAATGCTGATGTTGTTAACATTAATCATTTGAGAATAAAGTATAACAATAATAATAATTTG